AGTCAGAGTAAAATGTATGATCCATTTTGATTGGCTAGATCGACAACAAATATTCATTGGTGAGCATGGCTTGCCCCAGGGCGCCTCGTCAAGCCGCCGTTAGACCGAGCCGTCGTCGTGCGTGCTGTCGATGCCGTCACACGAGATAGGTGTACTGCACTCTGCAAGCGTAGAGCCACGAGCTTAACAATCGCAGCACTGACTTGCATCTCTGGGCCCGGAACGAGCGGGATCTAGCATCGCATCAGGGCTACGGCTATGCCTGACGTCTCGTTGGCGATAGCACTGAGCATGACGCGCGCCAAGCGCCCGCCATAGCGATACCCGTAGTCGCTATTACAGCTGGAGGGTGGATCTATCTATGCGGATGCGTCCACCACCCTGCCCAAGGTGAAGCGCTCTTGAACAGGCGTGTCGTCGCCGCCACGTCGCCGCGCCGCACGCATGCTCATCATCCCTTCAAGCGCGCCCAACCACCGAGTATAAAACGGAATGTTTCTTAAAGCTGATTTAAACAGCTACTAGAATATCTGTGAATAACTATGGTTCTGTTTCATTCATCAAGGTGCAACACTGCTATAAACTGTATTAAACTCCAATATTGGCACTTTAATATGGCGCCTCGGCCTCTTGTCCTGGTCGCTCGATTTTCAGCCAATGAAAAAAATACTTTGAAACAGCCAATCCATGTGAGCTAAATCTGAATTTCTACCAATAACATGCGTCAGAGCTTGTGTGATCCGACAGCCGCTGACCTGGAGGAAATCTCAAACTGGCCAATCAGCGATGGGAAACGCCATCTGTTGGTCTCCAGCCGAGAGCCGCACCTCACTGTCTCGGAGTCGCTGTAAGTTACTCTGCACAGCATCTGGCGATTTCAAAAGCCGCTGGCCCAAAGTTACTCTGAATCGACCCTTAATGTGACCGTTATCTTTGCTAAGATTTTGTCGACATAGAGACTTGCCATCTCCTTTCTTTGTTCATTCGTTCGCAGGCGGTAGCGCGTCTCAAGGGTATATAAGAGATGCTTATATACCCTTGCGCGTCTTGCTCTTCTGTAGTCCTGTTCCATGGCATATTGCGGGAGTACCACAACCAATTTCACTTTGTACAGTAGATTGCACAAATACGTAGAGCGACATCCAAGGGCGAGCGAAAGAACAACAAATGCGCTAAGTTAGCTATTTCCTCGTGGCTTGGGCATCCATGATGACCAAACATCGCGGATGACGTGCGTACGTGAAGCTTTGAAAGCCGACGACGTGACCACATCAGCGTCGCAAACAGATGTTTTATGTTGTGCAATCTGCGGGGATTAGCTAAACCTGCGGTCCTCGGGACCTTGCCTTGCATTTTCCATTTTGACGCCGACAAGCCACAGCAGCATGACTTCTCCCTACGACCCGAGCTACACCCACGAATACCTCAGTCTCTCGGATGGCCTTCGCCTCCACTACGTTGACGTGGGGCCCCGCGGTACGATCTTGCTTTTTGTATGCAATTCGCAAACGCAATGTGGGTAGATGCGGTACCGCTCCTTTTGCTCCACGGCTGGCCCGACTTGTGGTGGAGCTGGCGGGTGCGTTCTTTCCGGATCTGGCACGTCGGGTTGATTCATTTCCACAACTTTTCTAGTTTCAAATCCAGCACTTTCGCAAGACGTACCGCGTCATTGTGCCGGATCAACCTGGGTTTGGCGCGACGACGTCACCGAAAGAACCAGAATTCTACCGTCGGAAGAACCTCGCGCTTGTATACGCGCAGCTGCTCGGTACGACGGTCCGCGTGCATGTTGGCACTGACGTTATGCGTAGACCACTTGCAGATCGAGAAGGCCATTGTCGTCGGGCACGACTGGGGCGGCAACATGGCGTGGTCCATGGCGCTCTTCCAGCCGTCGCGCGTCGCAGCTGTCGGCGCCATCTGCACGCCGTACCGTCCGCTAACGCCCGTCAAGCTCACGCTCGAGATCATGGTCAAGTACGCGCCGACGCTGACGTACCAGCTCTTGCTCGTGCAGGACGGCACTGCGGCCCGCTTTGAAGCGAACACGGAAAAGTTCTTCAAGCTCATCTTCCAGTTTCAAGAATCCCATCGCCCCGAAGCCGCGTTCGCAGACCTCAAGGCAATGCTCGACCACTTTGAACAGTTTGAGTTTGACCCGTCGACAAAGAAGGCGAATCTCTCGGACGACGACCTCGCATTCATCGTCGCCAAGTACCAGCGCCAAGGCTTCCAGACGGGCCTGAACTGGTACAAGACGGTTGAGATGGACTACGATGACAAGGTCGGGCTCGACCTGACGCTCCAGCACGACGCGCTCTTCATTGCTGCGACGCATGACATGGCGTTGCCGCCCACGATGAGCATTGGTATGGAGAAGCTGGTGCCCAACCTCACGCGCGGTCTTGTCGACGAAGCAGGCCACTGGGTCCTCTGGGAGGCCCCGGATCAAGTCAACACCATCATGGACGACTGGCTCACCAAGGTCGTCGCCAAGCTCGGACTCGCCGCCGCGCCGTAAATGAGCCGTTGGACCTGTCCCGTACGATGCCTGACGGATTCGTGTTGCATAATTTGATTAGCATAAACCTAAAAATGATTCGACGATAGACCGAACTTTCGCCAAATCCTCCGAAAAGAAGGGATCACTCGTGCAAGAGTACTTTTTGAGTACACTCGTGGCTCGTGTGACTGTCGATGACAGCATCTGGATCGTGTGATCACATACGGTGTCCCTTGCTTGGAGTCGCCTTGGAGCCTCCCATATTGCTCTACTATTAATAGTCTAGTGTGCCGGGATGCGATGTGAACTACGGTACCAATACTGTAGTGGGTCTATTGCTTCTTCAGAAAGTCCCAACGATGCACAACGGCCGTGTCGTTTGAGTTTCGCGCACGACACTATGCGACAATGGTGGGTAGGGTTGTGGAAAGATGACTTGTCTGAGATTTTCTGGTCTGCGAGTTTGTTGAAATAGGTGAGTTGGCATCAACATCGCGTACAAGCGCAGGGCGAAGACGGACTACGGTACGTAAAGATGACCACAACACGGGCAACACCACGGGCAGGAACACAAACATTGGGCGCCAGTATGAATATTCTCGCGCTGATGAGCCGATCGAACATGGAGTGCCCGCGACATGCCGTCGAATGCAGACAACTGTTGGTATGCAGACAGGATGACGCAGCACATCTAGGTTAACTAAGCGTTTAGAAGTTTGGGCTCCTTTTTTTCATTTTCGATTTGTGCACGCCGCGATGACATCCCCATACGACCCCAGCTACACGCACAAGTACGTCAACCTCAAGAACGGTGTTCGCCTCCATTATGTCGACGTGGGTCCCCGAGGTACCGCCGCTGCTGATGCGCATGCTTCTATACTGCACTACGTATAGATGGTATCCCGATGCTACTGCTGCACGGGTGGCCCGATCTCTGGTGGGGCTGGCGGGTACGTTGCTTTTTGCATGAGCTTCCAAAACTCACATAAAACTAGCATCAAATCCAACACTTTCGTGCCAAGTACCGCCTCATCGTGCCGGACCAGCCCGGCTTTGGCGCTACGACGTCGCCCGACGACTACACCAAATACACGCGCAAGGCCGTCGCTGCGGGCTACGCCAACCTGCTCGGTACAACGACCGGCTCATTTTCACCGGATTTCTGACACAATGATCTAGACATTCTCGAGATTGAAAAGGCGATCGTGATTGGCCACGACTGGGGCGGCATGGCAGCGTGGTGCATGGCGCTCTTCCAGCCGTCGCGTGTACTCGCTGTGGGCTCGATCTGCACGCCGTTTTGGGACGTCGTGCCTCAGGGCCTGATCCTCGAAGATTTTGTCGCGATCTTTCCGTCGCTGACGTACCAGCTGTACCTGGTGCAGGACGGCACGGCCGCGGCGTTTGAGGCGAACCCGAACAAGTTCTTTCAGCTTGTGTACGGCTGTAAGCAGCTGCGTCGCCCGGCGTCCGTTACGAACGTGCGCAGCGCCATGGAGGCGCTCGCCGAGTTTGAGTTTGATCCCGCGACGCCGCGCACCAACTTTTCAAGCGACGATTTGCACTACATGGTCGACGAGTACATGCGCCAGGGCTTCCAGCACGGCCTGAATTGGTACAAGACGTGCGAGCTCGACAACCAAGACAAGATGAACATCAACGTGGTTTTGCCGCACGAAGCGCTCTTTGTGAGCGCGGGCCGCGACCAAGCGCTCCTGCCCTCGATGAGCAAGGGCATGGAGACGCTCATTCCAAACCTTGTTCGCGGCCACGTCGAAGAAGCGTCGCACTGGATTCTATGGGAAACTCCGGACAAGGTCAACGCCATTCTCGAGTCGTGGCTTGATACCGTCACGGTCAAATTGAAGCTCGTTTAACCCTAGTCAACGACATCTTGCTGTTGTTTACTCTGTTTGTTGCGATGCAGAGCTATCGACATGTACGCTAGAAACGTCACGTCATGGATCTGGTCAAGGGTCTACTCAATGATCGAGTCTCGTACGGTCGGGTCAAAATCTGGTAGATCTTGGAGCGGACGTACTAAACTGGATCTGCCTTCAAGGGTCAGATGTGCTTTGTACGCAAGGAGATCGATGACAACCACAAAATCTCGATACATCCTTGCAATCACCCGATACTCAAGTCCTAACTCTCTCGCCCAAGGTCGTGTTCTTGGCACTTTCCACTTGGCGATCACCGACTTCGGCGGCCTTTCTCGAGCGTTTCGCTTTGCTAGTCATCCGGATAATCGTGCTATCCCGCCGGATACCAGCCGAGTCCACTTAGGTGCGAGACAAGGCTGATTGGTGTCGGCCATTTTCGTATCCGCCATGGACGCCCGCCACCTTGAGACGCAAGATGTCCTCCTCGAAGACGAGGAGATGATCCTCGAAGACGAAGTCACGCAGGAGTATGAACTCGGCGACGTGCCAGGTAGACGGTGACATGTAATGCATGAGAAGTATGCATGGCTTCTAGATGAGGACGACGACGACGACATGGAAGTCGATGGCGACGAAGGCGAGGCGGATGTCTCGGCCGAGATTGTCGACGACGCCCGCATGGTATGCGTCAACTGGCGCGACAAGGACGCTCACATGCGACACAGGTGTTTCACGGCCATAACGGCCCTGTCTACGCCATCAGCGTCCACCCGCTCGACAAGAACATTGTGCTGAGCGGTGGCGGCGACGACGTCGGTTTGATCTGGAGCATCGAAGACCTCTCGATCAAGCACGTGCTTAAGGGCCACACCGACTCGGTGGTGGCCGTGGGCTTTAGCTGCGACGGTGTGCTCGCCGCGACCGGCGGCTACGACGGTATCGTCAAGGTCTGGAACGTCCAGACCGGCGCGCTGCTTCATACGCTCGATGGTCCGTCGCAGGAGATTGAGTGGATCAAGTGGCATGCCAAGGTAGTTGGAGCTCCAACGACGCATCTCATTTGATGGGGTTAGGGCAACGTGCTTCTCGCGGGCTCGGGCGACGGCACAGCGTGGATGTGGCTAGCGGCCACGGGCGAGTGCATGCACGTATTTGCGGGACACGAAGACAGCATCACCTGCGGCTCGTTCACGGGCTCGGGCAAGATGATCGCGACCGGGTCGGCCGACTGCACGGTGCGTCTTTGGAACCCCAAGACTGGCGAGTGCGCGCACGTCTTCCGTGGCAACGAGTTCCACGAAGGCCCGATCTGCAATGTGCTCTGCCACCCCAAGCAGCCTGTCATGATCTCGTGCTCCCAAGACGGCACGGCGCGCCTTCTCCACATCCAAAACAAGCGCCAGCTCGCCGTCTTCTCGCACGCGACCAACGAAGCGGCGGCCGGCACGATCGCGGCCGACGATTCAATGGCCGTCAACTCGGTCGAATGGTATACACTGTCGTGCGGTTGTTGGACTCGACCAACTGACGCAACTGTCTAGCGCTGGCTTTTGCAACACGCTCAACTGGTGTGCGACGGCCGACTTGGGCGGTGAGCTCCGCATTTGGGACCTCGCCACGTACCAGTGCCGCCACGTGTGCCGCCACGAAGCCGGCGTCATCAAGCTCATGTGGCACCCGACCGAGCCGGTAGGCAGCGTCGTTTGGCTCCGACTCGGGCTCATAGACTTTCACTTAGTTTGTGTACACGTGCACGGTGGACGGTATGATCCACGTCTGGGATGCGCGCAGCGGCCAGCTCCAGCGGTCGCTCTCGGGCCACCAGGTATAAATGTCATGCTGTTGAAGCAAAGGAAGCGACAACAACGTGCGTAGGAGATGATCCTCGACATGGACCTCATTGTCCGCAACGGGCAGCTGGCCGATCTCGTCACGGCGAGCGACGACGAGACCGTGCGGATATTCAGCCTCGAATAAGACAGTGGCGACGCGCAAGCGTATGCCTACAAGGCCATTTTTGAACAAAATTTTGTCTACCATTCTGGACTCTACCCTGCATTCCGCGTCGAAAGCCCGTCGGACAAGCATCGTACACTTGGACTTGGTGGTTGGCGAGTCGATGCCTCGAGCTAACGCTAGGGGCCAACGCCGGCCGTTGCCAAGGTCTCGCCGCAGGAGACAGGCATCGGCGCCTCTTCCACCAACTTGAGTTAGATACAAAGACATTATGGCGCGACAAGATACCATTGCTATGTGATCTTTAAAGCCGACTAGAAGGACTAGGAATGACGCCGTTGACAACAAGTGAGAACAGCAGTGTCTGGAACGAGCGACGTAGCTCTGCCAACTACAGTGTAGTAAAAAGCGACCGGCTATAAGATCTTGACCAACTAAATCGTCGAGATGCGCGTGCTCGGGCACAAATTCAGTTGAGTTCTCTTCCGCGCACCGTCCGTCAAAGCATGGCGGACAGCGTCAGGACAGTCATGACAGGACGCTCGTGCGGGATGTTGCAAGGATACCGAAGCGAGCGATAAGGTGAGAACAGCACGTGGCGCTGCCGTGGCATTGTCCACGCACAATACTTTGAGTGTTAGAATGTGTCTCTTGCCATGTGGACAACATCAAAAGGTTATATAGTTATATAATTCTCTAACTGTTTCGGGTTAGTATCTACTTCACCAGCTCTAGTCCACGCGGTGGCGTAGCAGACACGACGCACTAAATCGACTACTCTACGTGTCTCGGTACAACGTCGCTTGCTTATGCGTCGTACAACCTACACATCGTGTGAGTTCAATGCCCTCGTACAAGCAGCGTACACTTCGTTTTGGAAGCTGGAGCCGCTCGCGGCCGCATCGGCGTGCGACTGGAACTTGAGCACTTCGTTCTTGCCGAGGTCGAGCACCTTGCGGAAGTTGCGGCCCACCGTGCGCTGCAGCGGCTCGTTGACCGCCGTCTTGGTCCAGACCGCAAGACGGTCCTGCGACTTGCGCACACTCACGACGCAGCCGCAAATGTCATCTTCGTCTTCGAGCGCTTCGCCAATCAACGCCAACATCTACGCTCCCCATAAGCCTTCCAATGCGCAAGCATGCGACTCCCTACCACATGCATCCACGAGTCGTCGAGGCGCGCACGGCGCTGTCGCGTGTTGGTGAGGATCCACTTGCCGCCCTTCATGTTGATCGGGTCTTCCCACATGGGCCGGATGCCCTCCTTGAAGAGGTGGTAGTTGCTGCCCGTCGAGAGCTTGGTCGGCGGCAGCACGTTGTTGAAGAGGCACCAAAAGTCCTCGACCGTCTCAAACGTGTAAATGAGCTTGAGGTTCTCTTCCCAGCTCTCGGTCGCGAGCTTCTTCTTCGGGTTGTCGTACCAGAGGACCCACTTGTGCTGCAGCGGGTGCTAGCATCGGCTAAGACTCATTGAATCGCACGTCGCGGGCAAGTACCTTGGGCCCGAGCTCCATGGTCACGGCTACGACGGGCGCGGCCTCCTCGGCGGCGGGCGTCTCGGCGGCCACCGTCTCGGCGACGGGCGTAGCGATGGGTTGCGGGTCGTCCGACATGCTGCTTCGGGTCGGTCGACTTGGTTGCGAATGGCAACAATTGGTTTGAGTTGCCCGAGCGGCTTTGTTGGTCGCTGCGCTTTGGTGGGGTGCGTGGCCTTTTATTTAAATGTCGTTCGTCCACTTTTTTAAATACCTAGACATTTGTATATTTGTCTCACTTGGATGTCATTATAATGCATGGCTTTTCCCCCGCCTGTCATGGGACATGGTCAATTAATTTCACGTGCGCGATGGTTTCTGAGTTTATTTTTATTCCAATGCCATGGTATCTATACAAACATTAAGCTTATGGCCATTGACGCACGATGCAAACCGAATTAAATTGCGTGTGCGCCGGCCGGTTTATTATTATACCGTTGCAGACAAGCCATCAGCGTTGAGAGGACGATGCCACTCAAACACTCGGCGCGACTAAACTCGAGCCGAGTCGACTAGATTCGAGTCGACTAGATTTGAACGGGCCATAAACTAAATGAATACGAAGAAAGGTCCTTCCATACATGACGTCAACGAGTACGTGGCACACCTCACGTCGAGGATTTGCCAAAAAGGCGCGCCAAAACCGTCCGGTAGTTGATCGGCCCAGCCGCGCCAAACGCTTCATCGAGGAGACGGAGGTCGCTCTCGTTGATCTACAGTCGTAGCATAGTGAGAAGTGCCGACACGATGAGAGTGATAGTACATCCAGTCGGCAGTCGGCTAGGACCGCGTGCAACTGGTCGAGCGTCACGTGGCCGCCGTACGACTCGTCGTAGCGCAGAAAGAGGTGGTGGACGTCCTTTGCATGCAGCTTTGCCTCTTTCAAGGCTGCTCGAAGATCGCTCATCACGACGTCGATTGTGCGTCCGACCAAGTGCGACACAAAGTGTCGGTAGTCGAGCACGCCGTCGACACCAAAGGTGTCCATGATCCAAGAGACAATATTGTCCGTGACGCGCGGAAACTCGAGCTTCACGAGCCCTTTGCGCAACTCGAGCGCGTCAATGTCGCCGGACCCATTCGTGTCAAAGTGGGCAAAGCACTCGGTCGGACTCACGCCGTTGGCCGCGGCGTCGCGAAGAAAGGCCTTGAGCTGGTCCACAATCGGGCGCGCTGCGTCTTGCGCCGATGGCGTCGGGTTGTCGGACGTCTCGGACACCGGTTCTTGCAGCGCTGCCTGGAGCATGGCCACATACTGGATGCTACGGTCGCCGCCGGGAAACGCCAGCACGAGCTCCCGGACCTGCGGCGGTGTCAGCACAATGCCGAGGTGCTTGAGCGCGATAAAGACATCAGCGACAGGCAGCACGCCGTGGGCGTCTGGGTCCAACGAGCCAAAGATCGACAGGACAGAGTCCCGAGGCTTGGTGCGGAGCTGCTGCAGAACGACCGCGACAGTTGACGCCTCGTCCTCGTCCGACTCGCTCCTTGTGGACGGGCGGACACGGACCATTGCTCGGAGAAAGAGCTTGTAGGAGATGGCACGGTCGCGGTTGACGTCAAAGAGGTGTCCGAGACGTCGCACTTCGGACGAAGACAAGGCAACTCCGTGCTCGGCCAAGACGCTGCAAAAGGTCTGCAGCGGCAACGCATTAGAGCCCTCATCGCTTGCCGATAACCGTTGCGAGACTGCCGCGAACCGCGTCGGGGAAGTCCAGAGCTGGCCGCCGACTTTCTCGAGTAGCTCGAACCGGTATGGGTCCAGCACAAACGCATCAAACTCGACACGCGAGATGACGTTGGTCTTGAAGATCGACATGGCATCAAAGAGGCCTTGGACGTCTCCGATCGACCTACAATAGATGCATAAACGACCAACGAACAATGGACTAGACTGTACACAGTATAGTGCAGCGCACGCAACCCAAGTTCGAGCGCTTCGAGACTGAGAAACCCTTGCTGGGCGCGATCAAAGTGCGCAAAGGCCGGTGCGATCGCGGCGTAGATCGACACGTCGTGCGTCATGCGCTCGGTCGTCAGCGCACCTTTGAGTCGAATGCGAAGCCGTAGCGACTCGTCAAGCTGCCATAAAGGGTTGACGTCGTGCCGAGCTTCGTGGAGCAAATGAAGGTAGTTGATGCCACCGCCGTCGTTCGCATGGCTTTGCGACTGCCGAAAGTGCTGAACGAGGTACCCGACACTCTCGGGCCCGTGCTCGACCATGTTGAGACCGAGCTCAATGAGAGCGGCCTTGACGTCCAGCGGCGCAATTGCGCCCGACCAATCGGCGTCAAATTGCTCGATGACGCGACGGTAGTCGACGCCTCTTGCTACGCTGTTTTGAATCAAGAGTGTCAGCACGTGCAGGCTGCGCTGGAGCTCTGTGCTACGTCCTTGGGCGGCCGGCGCCTCGGGCGTGGATGGTTTCGCGATCGGCCGAGCTACCTGCTCGAGGAGCGACATCACCGCCTGTAGGGACACGCGTCCCGTCTTGACGTTGACAAGCGCAGGAAGCAGCGGCCGCAGCCGGTCGAGCGCGATCAAGTTTGGTGACGGTAGTGTCTTTGCGAGTACCGCTGGTACTTTGAGCGGCGGGGCATCCGTCTTGCCTTTTTGGGTCATGTAGTCGTTCAGGTTGGCAATCCAGTCGCGCCAGAGGGTAGGGTCCGCCGCCGACGCCGCGTCTTGGAGCGCTGTGACAAGGAGGCGGTGGTGCTTTTCCTGCGTATCTGGCGGCGATGCCGCCTTCGTCTCGGGCGCCAGGAGCACGTGCTTCAAGAACTTTCGATACTCGAGCGTGTGGCGGTCCTTGGCGTGGGCCGCGTAGATCGCATGAACATCGTCGCTGCTCAAGTCGACGCCGAGCTTCCGCCAGCAGAGGGTGAAGATATCGGGCTCGACGAGGCCCGCATCGCGCCCGTCGTAGGCTTCGAACGTCGCGACGACCTTGCTTCGTTGCAACTGCACGATCGAGCGCAGGACGGAGAGAAGCATGGGCACGTCGACAGGCTTGGGCTCGACGGGGGCGCCCGAGTCCATGCTCACAAAGCGCGTGTGGTCGACGACATCGACGAGATCGGGGTCCAGCGCCTTAAGCAGCACGCGGACATCTTCAGTGGAGAGCGGTAGCGCCAACGTCTCGAGCACCGTCGACGCGAACGCCGCGCGGGACACGGGTGGCGAGAAGGCTGAGAGCCACTGGGAGAGGATACTCGAGACAGCAACATTCTCGGTGCGTGCGCGCTCTTGGGCCAGCGCTTGAAGCCGCGCCTCGATCCCTCGGAGACTCACGCTCGGCACGTGACTCCACTCGACAAAGGCACGGTACTGGACCTTGCCGTGGGTGTAAAATTGGGGTATGAGCACGTTGTGCACGGCGGGCGATGGCAAGACAAAGCCCGACCGGAGGAGCACGGCGGCAAACTCGTCCGCGCCAATGCACCCGAGCTTGCGCCAGTCGTAGCGGCCAAACGCTTGCAACAGCAGCGTCGCGTCTTGGACAACAAGCCGCCGCGCGTTCCACGCGAGGTGTTGCAACGTATTGAGGTCCAAGTGCTCGAACGTAGTGGGTCGGGACGTGGGCGGGGGGGGCGTGAAGAGCCCCCAGAGCGTGCCTGCACCAATGCTGCCGACCTGGTGCTTGTCCACGTACTGCCACAAGAGTGCTTGGTCGGACCACGAGAAGTCGACGACGTTGGCTTGCTTCCATAGCGTCGCCAGCTGCAGCTTTGTAAAGGTGTCACTCGGGCGGGCTTGGGCCAGCGCCAGCTACAAATCAACGTCACCCTTATCCACCAAATCCCAAGTGGCGTCATACCTTGATGGTTTGCAGCACGGGCGTACTGAGGCGGTGAAGGCGGACTTTGATCTTTTGCAGCTGAACGTTGTGCGGCAGCGCGAGGACGTACTGGAAGAACGCGCGGTAGTCGACGCCAAACCCACTCACGTCAAAGAGCTGCATGATGAGCTTGGCTTGCGTGCTCGAAAGGACGGTGCACACGTGACGCAGAAGGTCGCTAAAAGTGGCGTACGACAGCACGCCCGTGTTGGTGCTGTCAGCGTCCACAAACAAAGCGTACTCGGCTTCCTACGACCCCAAACATGCGTCGCACTCTGCATGGAGACAGAGGTACCTCGAGAAGCAGCGTCTGCAGGAGCTTCAGCAATGGCGGCGTCTGTTGCACGGCGCTCGCACACGTTCGCAAAAAGTGAATCAGGGGCGCATACGCAATGCGGCGCGCCCCCGGCGTCGTAAAGTACCCCAAGAGGCAACCAACGTGCTCGGGCTTGAGCGCCAAGACGCCCGGCGGCTGGTGGAGGACGTGCAGCATCTGCTTCTTGGAGAGCACGCCGGCATGCGCAGAATCCAGACTCGTGCACAGCTGAATCCATTGGCTCGTCACGCTTTCGTGCAGCTCCATGTGCCCACTGACAAACACTTCAACGTCGACGATGGTGCAGCGCGTCACGTCCGCGACAGGCGGCGCCACTATAGCACGAGGTGCCGGCTCCCGCGTCCGGCGAAACTGGCGCTGGATCGACCGCGCGGCGACGTCCGTCGATGGAAGCGTCGGCGCATCCAGCACAAACGACTGCTGGCTGGCGGCCGCGGCCGTCTTCATCCGTTCTTGGAAGGCCGCTTTTCGCTGTTCAAACTCTGTCGTTGCCACATGTGATTTGGTGCGGCTCGAGTATGCGGTTTTGGGCTGGAGCACTTCCTCGTCCTTGCCATCGTCCGGTGCAGAAGCGGTGGAAGCCGGCAATTTGAGCGAGCTCGCTGCCTCGTCGTGCAGCTCGTTTGACGCTTCGACTTGCTGTGGGTCGTAAATGTGAAACCCCAGCACGCCCAGCCCCCGCTTGAACTCGGCGCGGCTCACGTACTGGCACTGCGTTGGATCGTAGCGCTCGAACGGCCGAAGCAGCGCGCTCGGCTTCTCTTGGCGCTCGAAAAGCCGGATCGTGTCACGAATCTTTTGTGCGACAAAGCGCGCCTGGCACAACGGCGACGGCTCCAAGTGCAGCGCGAGCTCGGACGCGTGGAAGAAGCCATTCGGGTTTCCCAAGACGGACGCCAAGAGCGTGACGTAGTTTGGCGTCACGATCAAATTCCGAGCTTTGCAGCGCTGCACAAAGGCGTCTTGTGTGAGGAGCTTGGGCTCGAGCGCCAAAAACTTGTTGATCGGCACATCATGGGCGTGGGCTTCGTGCATGAGGTGTCGAAGGGCCGAGTGGAACCACTCGAGCATCTCGAGAAACGCTGGTGAGACGTAGAGACTCGCGTGGGCGTAGATCAAAAACGACTTGTAGCACACGCGGCCGTCTTGCAAAAATGAGAAATGCCCCATGAGGTCGTGCACATCCTGCAGTGTGAGCGCGTTGGCATTCGCAGGGGCGACGCCGAGCTCGGTGAGCACTTGGAACGGGTGCTTCCACTGCAGCGTGAGGAGGAGCTCGCCAGCTGAGACACCGCAAGGATCGAGGACCGCAAACCACCCGCTGATCGCGTCTCCCGACGCCAGTGCTTTTAGCGGCACATTGCAGGTCCCGAGGACGCCGCCACTCGACTCGTCACTAGTAGCATTCGTGTCGTTGTCGTCAAAGAGCGTAAGGGCCAGCGATACGGTCTTGAAGAACTGCTTGAGGCACATATCGACCGAGACAGAGAAGCGATGCGTGCTGTGCTCAAACGACGGCGTCGCCGTGTGGGGCGCAATGTCCGTAAAGACGTCTGGAAACCCGAGCAGTTGGTAGTGGACATATGCACTCGGTGGGCGCCCCGACGCGGTGTAGAGCTTGCGCCCCGCGACAATGGCAATCTACGCATACAGCGTCTTGGTTTTAGCACCAAGCGCAAACGCACCTCGAGGTCGTTGAGCGGCCCGAGGTGACTCACTGCGTCTTGCAGAACAAGCGCACTTTCGAGGTTTTGATTCGGCGTGTCGCCCAAGAAAGCATGATCAGCGGGATGCGCTTGCAGATGCAGCTGCCACGTTTCCGAGACTGGAATCGCCATGCGGAGGACGAGGTTCATGGTGCCAATGATGGCGTTGGTTGTCGTATGGCGAATCGGTACACTCGTGTCGCGTAAGACCCCTCGACTCGCGAGCAGCGGGCGCAAGGGCAGTGCGGTGCGCCCGACGACATGAAAGTCCCCTTGGATGGCTTGGTGGACTTCAAGCGCGAGCTGATCGGAGGCAAGGTACCGTAGGAAAAACGCATCGGCCGTCACCTGTCAACCTCCAAATCAATGCAATTCGCCAATACAAGGGCAGACCTTGTACGATGTGGCAAAGTTGTACACGGGGTCGCTGCCCGTCAAGAGCGCGGTCGGTTGCGACTCGAAATCGTAGAAATCGCAGAGCACGAACGTACAGCTCGTGCCATGCACGTACTTTGGCTCGAAATGCGCCGAGACGACCCAAATCTCCAAGAGGTTGTCGCCTATACGCACATTCAAGCGTCTCAAACGAACTCGTGCATCGTGCCTTGGTCGAGTTCATCGGCGCCTGCCACGACACACCCTTCGTCAACCTGTTCTTCACCTCCAATCCCATCGATCTCAGGTAAAGACAAGTTGTCGTCGTTGCAACGCGACGTCGAAGGGTGCGCTGCGAGGTACTTGAGTTGCCGAATCTGCGCTTCAAGCACCGCGATCTTCTTGAGACGCTGCTCGGTCAAGAGCTCGAGCGTCGAGATCTTCTTGAGAAGCGCGCCATGCGATGCGTCCTTACGCGACACGAGGTCCTCAATCTCGAGGCTGAGCTCTCGGTTGATGCTCGTTTGTGCCTGCAGCATCTTTTCACAGCGCTCGAGCTCCTGCGTTGACGAGAGGTGCGCGATCTGGAGCGTGTGGACCTTCTGCTTGAGCACATGCACGCTATTCCATAAATGATGACACGGGAGACCGCATAAGTGTGTCGCAACCTGCTATCGCGGTCGGTCTGTAAGGGGCTAAACAGCTCCTTGTTGGCGGCATCGTCAAGCATACGACGGGCGGTCACCGGCATGCCCCTACACGGTTTGAGTGGATACTACAACGGACACTCTGTCTACTCTGTCTTGGACGGCAGCGATAACGGCGGCGGAAGCTCAAACGTCTCGGTTTGCACCGACACCTTGATGGGACTCGCGTCTTTGGACGGAGTATGGGCGGGTGCAACGGCGGCGACTTGTGGCGGCGCCTCGATGAGAATCGTGGTCGGTTGATGGCGCTGGAACTGCTGCCGATTGCGCTCTTCGTCGAGCTCCTTCTTGAGCCGAAGGACGTCTTGCTCGAGCGCTTCTTTGGCTTGCTTGGTGAGCCGAACGTTGCTCTGGAGCTCTTGGATCGCGGCCACGTGCTTGGCAGCGTCCGCCTGCAGCGTTTCGTTGGCCTTTTTCAGCATCATATTTTGTTTTTCGAGCTCGACGATCTTGTCGATGCGCTCTTTGCGCTGAAACGCATCGTTGATGAACGGACTCTCACAGAGCGACGTCATGCGCTCTTCCAACTTGGCATTCTACCGAAAAGTGAGCTACTTGCAGTCGCATCGAACGCGGTACTTGGTCTTGGAGCATTGCGACTTCGTCTTTGAGGTCCTTTGTCTTGGCCGCGCGCTTCTCGAGCTGCTCTTTGGCCATCTGCGCGTCCTGCAGCTCGGCGCGAAGCCGGTGAATGACCCGGTTGAAGCTCTCCATTTGTTCGAGTGTCTTTTCCTACCATATACAGACCCGATGTCGTTCAACGATCGATTGGGATGAGGTACATCGATACCTGGATCTCGCGCTCCGCCACGGCTTTGGACTCGAGGTTGTCAAAGCGAGCGTTCAAGATCACGAGCTGGGCTTGGCGATCGCGCAGCTCGCGCTGGAGCTGCTCGACTTCGACCGAGCCCAAATGGGACCGATGCCGAAGGTTGTTGTCGCCGTGGTCGTCGTGGTCGTCGGCGGCGCGCTTGAGCGCTTCGTTTTCTTGCTGGAGTTGGAGCAAACGGCGCTCGGCGGTCACTAGCCGTGCTTTCAACGCGTCTTCGAGCTCCGGGTTCCGGCTCGCTTTCTCGCGGTGCATGTCGCGGGCTAAATGCGCGTAGCTCTCCAAAGGCGCGGTCGGGGCGTGGGCACGACTCGCCGTCGGCGTCGATACCTCGTCCTTCTTCGTACGCGCCGGGTGCTTGGTCTTGAGCAGCGTGAGTTGGCCCTTGAGCTGTCGCGTCGCCTCGGTCGAGAGCTGTGCCTTCTTGCGCAGCGCTGCATTCTCGCGCTTGAGCTCGTCGACAAAGCGCTCCGTGTCCAAGTCGCGCTTCCCGTGGGCTTTGGCTACGAGGCAACGTCAGGTGCTGGAAGCTAGCGTACAATGTAGTACTTGGCGATGTGGCTTCGGGGCTGGCCTCGCGCTCCTTGCGCTTGAGCGTCTCCTCGATCATCGCGAGCTTGGTGTACATGCTACATGGCATGAGGCCTCGCGTGGAGCGATCGGTCGTACCGCTTGATGGTCGCCTCCTGCTCGTTCTTCTTGCGCTTCAGCGCCAAGTTCTCTTCGCGCAGGTCCAGGTACTTGTCCTCATACGTGGCCTTGGCTGCGTCCGCCATCGCCCGAACCGACGCAAGATACCAACATCGTCCGCATACCGCACCGTTTATCCGGTATCGACCTCGACACCCATTTGGCTTCGATCTTCGATTCTACTAACGGTTGAGCGGTTTGGGCGAGCCACAAAGCAGACGAGATCTTTTCGAGGAGGAGATTGAGCAAGTACATGCTCTAGACCCAATTTCCATGCTATCTATCTAGTCGAGAGAGATTCATGTCTCGTATATGGGTGTACCTGAAACAATAGCGCACGGGGCATGCTCAACCGAGCGGTTAGATTCGAAGAAAATGAAAATCGAAGTAGAAAACTTTGTAGGTGAATTTCTTGACCCCACAGCGTCAACCGATCAAACGACATAGCGCGTTATGACCTCCTCGGTGTCCTCTATCGCCATGCCAAATTTGAGCGATTTTTTTTCCCGACACGTTTGGCGATTCCAGTCTCGCTGCGTCGTT